CCGGGACATTGGGACCGCCCCGGCCCCCAGCTGCCCCAAGTCATCAGCCTCTGGTCAGTTTCAGCAGCGGACTTGGGGAAGTCTGGGGCAGAGCAGCGGGGGCGCTGCCGGGTTGGTCCTGCAGCGCCGAGGGGCACATCCCCCACACTCCGCCCCAGACCCCTTATGCCCCCCCTCCTTCTGATAGTCCAGCATATTTGATAATCCGGCACCCCTTGGGTCCTAAAGGTGCCAGATTATTGGAAGTTTACTGTATTATAGGGGTTGGGGAAGCTGACACTTTCCATTATGAAGAATTTTTGTGATCTGTTCTTCACTTCCATTGTTTGCAGCAGGTATTTGGCAGGGAGAACAAATATCAGGTATTGCTGAGATACACAATGAAATCACCATTTTCTTTCCCTCCTGTTCCTCAGGGAAATTTGTCAGCCTGTCAAAATAGCAGCTAAGCACACATTCTAGGCCAGACTCACACCACTATTAGACTAATAGCAACAGGAGCCACTACAGTGGGAATACATGGGTACTCCCAGAGCAGTGGTAGGATGAACAGAAGGAGAATGGGCTTTCTGATGGGGCACACTAACCTCTTGTGAGCACCCCCTGTTGGATGGATGTGAACCCTCACTATCTCTGTGCTCAAAGTATCCTCTATTATAGGGCTCTTCATGTGGCCCACAGCCTGTGGCTACGTCTAGACTACATCCCTTTTTCGGAAAAGGGATGTAAATTAGACGTATTGCAATTGCTAATGAAGCGGGGATTTAACATGTGGCCCGCGGGTGGGAGCCAAAACAAGAAAGTAGGCAATATAATGGTCTTCTGTTGATATGTGTTTTAGTAGTTTAATGAGCAATGACAGTCCAGGAATTTAAAATACTGTCATTAGAGTTGCCAGGTGTCCGGTACTGATTCAGACAGTCTGGTATTTTCACCTCCTGTCCGGTAAAAAAATTCAGAAAATACCAAACACCTAAAAAAAACATTTCCCTGCCAGGAGGCGAAAATACCGGACACCTGGCAACTCACTCAGCAATTGGGCCCAGCCCCCCGCCTCCCTTCTGCCAGGCTCCCCCACTTACCTGGTTCTGCAGGGGCTTGTCTTGTGCCTGGCAGAAAAACAAAATGGCCACCGGCAAAAAAGCCTCTTCTTAAATGGGCCATGCTGATTTTTATTTTTTAATAACTGCTGTCCTTTTATTTTCTCAACAGAATTTTTTTCCCGGTGTTTTTTTGGGGGAGAGCGGGGGTCTGTATTTTTGGTTAAACCATCTGGCAACCCTAGCTGTCATATGGATGGAAATCGGGTAAATATTGCATTTTATTAATATCAGCAGAACTGACTTAAATGGGGCCTGTGTTTTGTGCAATCTTGCCTTGACCTTTGTATTCATGCCTGTCAATGTGAAATATGCAACCACACTTAAGTTGCGGCCTTCGGCATGTTCTGTGAGTATCATTGTGACCCTTGGAGCTTCCAAAGTTGAGTAGCCCTGCTCTATCAGTTGTTGCCCTCATCAGGTGAATCTTCAGGGGCTCTTTCCTTTGGCTGACACACATAGTTTAAAATGGATGACTCCCTTCCAGAGTAGCAAAGGTTCAACAACGCCTATCACAATGCCCTTGTTGGAACTGTTATTCTACCCTGGGTTAGGTTCTTAGCCCCTTCTGGACTGGCTTTAAATCTATCCCTACCACATTATAAACCAGCACACTCAGGACTTCCTCCCTGGAGATCTTAGCCTTTAGCTGTTCTCTGGTGTCCCTTAAATACTTTCACTTGAGCCTCTAATCAAGCTTTATCTTCTCCTCAGGACATAGGCCACTTCACCACGCCTGTGAGGGAATCCAGACACACCCACTACTCCCAACCCAGGGACTCTACAAGTAGAAATCACATCTTGCTTCCTTTAATAGTTGCTTCTTGTTGCTATTCCCTGGGCCACATCCCATGTAGCCTCTTCCTCTTCACCCTCACTTCAGGGCTGACGTTCTCAACTCTTCTTCTTCCTCACAAAATGCCAGTGTCACTAGAACCCGTCTCCTGGCTCTCCCCTGAGCATCAGCAAGACCTCACTTCAGGGCTGACGTTCTCAACTTTTCTTCTTCCTCATGAAATGCCAGTGTCACTAGAGCCCGTCTCCTGGCTCTCCCCTAAGCATCGGCAAGGAGCACCCTTCCTTATACTTCTGGTCCGAGACAGAAAGTGACTAGCTCAATCATCTGATCACTTTTTAACTGAGTCTGCTGCACTTTGATTAGCTGGTTCCCTGCAGCCTTTCTCAGCAGACCTGGAAGACTCGCCTTTACTGCTCCTTTTCTGGTATGGCATGTGGTAGGTCTGCAAGGCCACCAGCAGAGGGTTTCAAGGGACCTGACATCCCTTATGCCAGGCTTCTTTGCTTCAGGCCTGGCACATGGATCCAGAGTAGTCCATGCTGAACAAATGGTCCATCTCACCCAACCTCACCCCTTTAGGAAACAGCATTTATCTGACAGCAGCTGAAGTAGTTGGCACTGTAGCTAGGGTTGCCAGGTGTCCAGTATTGGCCTGGACAGTCCAGTATTTGCAGCCTGTTTTTCTCAGACAGAAGGCCACTTTTTTGTGAAAGTATCTGGCAGCTCAAGTGGTATTTGCCTACCTGTAGCTCAAGTGGTATTTGCCTGTGCTGAA